ATGTTCTCCTTCTTCAGGCTGGGCTGTCCTTGTGGGTGCCACATGGTTTGGTGGTCCACGGCTTCCCCTGCCCTCATCATCCCCTCCCCCCAACGAGCCTAGTTTAAAGCCTGCCGGAGGAGATCCACCAACCTAGAAGAGAACACACGCTTACCTTTGGGGGACAGATGAAGCCCATCCCAACTGAGCATGTCTCTCGTCATGATGTGCGGGTCATTGTCAAGGAGGCCGAAGCCTGCCTTGAGACACCATTGCCGAAGCCGCCAGTTGGTCTCTCTAATGCAATTCTCGTGTCGTCTTCCACGTCCACTCACTGGCAGGACAGAAGGGAATACCACCTGTGCACCTCTTTCTTTCAGCATGCCGCCCAGAGCATGGTAGTCCATCATCAGGTGATCGGGGCTTCTCTCTGGAGTACTGTGTTCAGTTTTGGGCCCTCCACGACCAAAAGGATGTGGACAAATTGGAGAGAGTCCAGCAGAGGTCAATGAAAATGGTTGGGGGCTGGGGGTCATGACTTATGAGGAGAAACTAAGGGAAGTGAGCTTATTTAGTTTGTAGAAGAGAAGACTGAAGGGGGGATTTGATAGCAGCCTTTAACTACCTGAAGGTTGGTTCCAGAGAGGATGGAGCTAGACTGTTCTCAGTGGTGGCAGATGACAGAACAAGGAGCAATGCTCTCAAGTTGCAGCAAGGGAGGTTTCGGTTGGATATTAGGAAAAATGTTCTCTCTAGGAGGATGGTAAAACACTGGAATCGGCCGCCCAGAGAGGTGGTAGAAGCTCTATCCTTGGAGGCTTTTAAGAGCTGGCTAGACTAAACTCTGCCTAGGATGATCTAGTTGTTGCTGGTCCTACTTTGAGCAGGGGATTGGACTAGATGCCCTCCTGAAGTCACTTCCAACCTTAATTTTCTATGATTCTATGATCCAATGAACCTAGTTCATTAATATCTAGGTGGTTCATAAAACCCTTACGTTCACAGCAAGTTGCCTACTTAAGAATGAGATGCTCAGGCAGGATTTTTCAAATGTGAGCCTGTGCTTGGGTCACTTGTGATGCACATGCAAAACTCAGGCTGTTTTTACATGGGAGGGTGACGTGCACCTCCAGCCTTCTGAAACTGGGGTCTTTGCTTTTGTAAATAAAGTGAGCAAATGTGACTCCAGGTATATGCTGGGAATACAACTGATGTGTGAAAAGAGGCCAGTTTTTACAGAATCCCTTATCTGATTGTAATTGCAGTAATATCAGTCTTTCTAGGGACACTGTTAAGTTGAAATCTATCTAGTTCCAAAAGATTACTTAAAACAGCGTCAGTTCATACACTTCTCTTGCTCTCTCTTGCTCTTTCCCCTGCCCCAATTTATTTCTGTTTTTCTGTACCATTTGACTGTCAAAAAGTTCCCCTACACCGTTGCCTTTCCATCATTTGGGAAACTATGCATATAGTCTGTGCAAACTATAAAAATTGCAGAGGTCATGTAAGTAAAGGCAAAGTGCTGTGAAATGCACATAGTGACCACAATTCACGGAAAAAAAAAGATTTCCCTTCCCCCATTCCCCCTTGTCCGCCACCACTTCTAATCATTCACCTGTGATCTTAGGTGACTTACAGCGCTAAGTAAAAGTTTTTTCTTACAAGTGTGTCCTTAAACAGAATATGTCTTTTAATATATTCAGTTACCATAACTGGTGTTTGAAAAATAATTAGCATGCTCACAGTAAACCAGACACATTGGGAGATTTTATTCATTTGGGAAGTCATTAATGTGTTTCTAGGCCTATACCATAGCCAGTATTTCTTCCCATACAAAACTTAAGGTACTGTACTTGTAACAGTTCTTAAATTAAAAATAAATGCATTTCATGCTCCTGACTACACTTTGTATTGTTTTTCATGTATTGCACCTGTATCTATCCTCTGCTTAGCCACTGTTCCCCTTTTCCTAGTGTCCACAAAAACTGTTACATTCAGACTGACTGTACAGTGTAAAGCAGTTGATCCTAATTTGAATTCCTTTCCCTCTGTTCCTAGCCATAACCATTCAGAAATACACTTGGGGAGACAGACATATAAAAACCCTAAAACGTATGACTAAATCTTGAAGTAGGTCTTATGAATCAAAATCTAATCTCAGAAATGAACCTCAGCATTCTGATTTATAACACTTTTTGCCGTACACCTCCATGAAACACTCTCTGAAAATGTTGAATTCTATAGGTCAGTGCTAGAAAAAATCCTACCAGCAGATGCTCATTTTAGTTTGTACTGCTGGCCTTTAAATTAATTGCTTCCATATACAGTATTTCACTGCATACTGCTAGCACTTAAGAATCTCTTCTCTAAACTTGAAATTAGCAAAGTAAATTACATTATTTCCGGATTTAACAACCTGTCTCCAAGAGCCTGCAGAACAAAAAAACCTCCCTGAAGAAAATTCTAACTTTGAGTTTAAGTGAAATTCTCCTTCAAACTACATTGTCTGGGTCAGTCTTATTTATTTATTTTACAATTTCTCTTAGACCTGGTTCTTGTTTGATCCACAGATCTGAGCAAACCTGAGGCTTGGGGGAGTTCAGATTTATTTCTGAACTCTGAAGCTCAGCTCTGGTTCCCTCTCCGCCCCACCCAAAATGTCAGATATGTTTTCACCTCCTCCTTCTCGTTTCCTTTTCCCACTCTCTCCCTTCCTACTTACTATAAAGTCACTGAATGATAAGCTGTGGGAAGTGTTGATTCCCAGGATAAGAACAAGTGGAATGGCATTTTGTCCATTTCCCGTAAATTCAGTGTGCTGTATTACCAGTTAGAACAAACTGGTGGTCATAAAGGCTCTCTTCCCCAGCAGGCTAGAAAATAAAAAGCAAAAGTGCAGCCTTTGTTTTTTCTTATTAGAAGCACCGCAATAAGGGAAACATTTGGTCTTGCATATCCTTTGTTACTGGAAACAGATTAAAGGATAAACTCCTCTGGAATATCACAGTATCCTATATAGTTGTGGGACAGGCAGTTAGGTAAATCATCTGTTGGCTTGCAGGCTGAGCATGTTTGCTGACTTACCAACCAAAGAAACGCATATACAAAATGTTTTTCATAGGCTTTATAAGCTTTTGTGCTTATTATTTATGATTAATAATGTGCTTAGTGCTGAGAGGTGTGCTTAGCACTGTACAAAACAATGGTAAAAAAAGCAGTCTTTGGCCTGAAGAATTTAATAGCCTGAAAGATAATTCCAGGGAATATGTATTTAGAAAACGAGAGATGGGGATCATTTAGAGGTGCTGTGTTTTTCATTTTTCTTTTAACTCCCTTGCAATCAAGTTCAAAGTCAGTAAAATGGGGATGCTGATTTGTTTCTTCTTACCCTTTGTCCTGGCTTCTTATCTGGTAAGCTTTTTTAGGACATTGGCTGTATCTTACACGTTTGCACAGTGATACCTCAACCTCAGTCAGAGCCCCGAGATGATGTTGTAAAAATAATCTCTTTATGAGCATTTCAGAAAAACAATTTTGGAGGAAGATTTCGATGTAGATAGGCTACGGGCTTTTTGATCGGGTCCTTAATTAGGAGCGGAGTGATTAAGAAGGAAGAGAAAGGAAGAGGAAAAAATAAACTAAACAAAATGGTTGTACTGTAGCAGGGTGGAGGTGAGGAATATGATTAAAAAAGCCTCTGGCTTGTTACACTTTTTAAAAATTGAAATAAGTATACTGTTTGCATATAAATGGCCGTTTCTGTCTATCTCAAGTGCTACTCATTCACAGGAAAACTGTGGTGTTACATCTCATAGTAAACAACAACTGTATCCAGGACAGTACTCCCAAAGATCTGTGGAGTTTCAAATATAAAAAGGACTTATTTGTGAGACTTGCAGACATTTCAGATTACACGCTGGGACCCAGAGACAGAGAACTCATAGATACTGCTGACCATCCCTTAGGCAGATGGTATGAAGGAAGGAATGAAAATGTTTTTACCGCACATACAAGATGGGAGGTCGTGGAAAACTGAGGCAGAGCTGTTTGGATAACTGATTGGATATCTTTTTGTGTGATGGTGTTTTCTTTAATGTAACCCTTACCTTGGACTGGTTTTGTTTTGTGGCAAATGCAATGTTCTCTTTTTCAGAACACTGGCTTTGATTAAGCCTGATGCAGGACCCAGGATTGGAGAGCTAATTGATATCATTATTAATGCTGGGTTTACAATAACCAAGGCCAAAATGATGGTGCTTTCACGGTAAGGCTCTATGAACATTTACTGTAGCATTGGAATATTACTTTTTTATTTCACTGTACTTTCCTAGTTATTCCATGTTGTTCAGCATATTACATTGATACTACCGAGTAATAAAGAAAGCAGTAATCTGTTTCATAATGACATGTAAGTTCCTCAAACAGTGTAGAGACCTTAGAGTGTCTAGGTAATGAAAAAGTCCTGTGCAAATGTCATTGGGCTTACTGCGAGTGTGTAAATATATAATGTGTGCCTGAATAAAAATAGAGGTCATTCTTATAAATTCAGCACTCAGATGATGCTTGCTAGTAACACATTTCTTTCCCTTCACTTTTAATTACCCAGTTGCCTTATGCAAGCTTGATTGCTAATTATGGTACAATTGTCTCAAGTTGATTAATTTGTTGCCTTACAGTAAATCCAGTTTTGGTCTCTGCGCCTAGAACCAACCTTGCCATCTTCTGCAGCCTCTGTGGAAGTCCCTAGGGATAGCGCAGCCTGTGTGGCTCTGCTGAGGGCAAGGGCAGGGCTGACCTGTATGTGTCTTCTGCTCCCTTTGTATGAATGTCACTCGGATGCCTGACCACTGGTGGCCAGAGAAGGCTAGCTGGGGAAAGAACGGATTTGGTGCATCTACCACAAAGGGGTTTGCCAGGATCCTTTTATGGCTACTCCATTGTGGTTATGCCACACCTATCTACACAACATCTTTGAGCAGAAAAATCACCTTATCTTTAAATATGCCGTCTTTCCAAGAGTCCTACTCTAGGTCTTATGGTTCCCATATGCCACAAGGAGGTATTCCCCTATCTCAAAGTTTTTTGGCCCTCCTAGGTGGTGGTAGGATGGTACATGACTGCCTCTCTCTGTGATCACATGATGCTGTCTGCTACTGCACCTGACCCTACCATTGTAGTTTATAAATAGTCACGTATCTAATACAGAACCCCTCACCTCCACCCGAATCTACATCCAGGATTTCGGGTATCTTTGTGGGATCTTTTCTAGCCCTTCAGTCTGCTCTTAATAAATGCAAACTATTCTGTGGTTTGATGTTCCGTCATTTCACTCGCTTTGTCCTGAAGTAGTAGGCTCCTCCTTATTTCTGTGGGCGGATTTGTTCTATGATTGAAGGTTTGAGGTACATCTTTGTTTTGGATATGGCTTACTTTGAGGAAAAGAAATCCTAAAGGTTGAGATGAGATTTAAACTCCTTTTACTTTATAAGCGACTCCCTGCCTGTCTAGGGCTGTCAAAGAATTTTAAAAAATTAATTGCAATTAATTGAGATATTAAAAAAACTAGTTGTGTTAACTGCACAGTTAAAATTGCAATTAAAACAATAATAGAATTCTTCTTGTGCTTGCATAGCTTCCCCCAGCACTGGAAGGCACCCCCCTACACACACACGTACACATACCCTAGACAGTCCCCAAGCCCTGGCCCTCCAACCTCTGCTCCCCATCCAGCTGCCAAATCTGTTCCCAGGACCCTGCCTGGCTGTTTGCTGGCCACGTGTGTGTGCGGCCAGCAGCAGCAACAGGGGAGGGGCTGCTCTTCCCCCTAGCACCCAGAGCGCTTAATGCACGTTAAAAAAATTAACGCAAAAATGAATGAACACATTAATCATGCGTGTTAACTGTGATTAATTGACAGCCCTAATAATGACTAATCATTACCTAGTACCTCATTAGACTATAATATTTAATGGCTCAATATATAAATGGTGACTTGATAATATGGAGTTTTTATGGGGCCCTCTATGTTAATCCATGATATTACACCATAATTCTAATGGTGGCACTGAATTATTGTCACAAGCCGAGTGCCATGGTTCCCTGTACGCTTATTTGCCCCGAGTAGCATCGGCATCTGCTGCTTTCTTTAAAGGGGATTATTGCTGACATTTGCCTGGAAAACTCTGTTAACTTGATTCATACCACCTGTAAAAAAAAACAAACACATTGCTTAGGTATGAAAGAAAGGGCAGACGTGTGCTGTGAAAGGCCAGTTCCTCTGTCTCCTCAGTCAATCATGCCTCAGTCCAACCCACTATTCAAGATAAATCCTGCTTTCAGTTCTCTCTGAGTCCGACTCTGCTGAGACTAAATGCAAAAGGGAGTTAGATTTTGGACAGCCAGTCCCGTTTTGTAATTACTGCAATAGCAGTTTTCCTTGTCTAAGCTTTGGAACCAGGGATATGCGTGGTTTAACTGTTCACAAATATTTGTTCAGGTTTATAAATGATATTGCTTAAGACTGTCTTCATACCCTTTTGCAGTTCGCTTTCCATGAATATTTTAGTCAGTGCACTTACTGGAAGGAAGTTTTGCTGAAACAGTGGATTCTAAACACCTATTTTAGAATATTTGTGGAAAGTGGGTTTTATTTCATTTTAGAAAAAACCTTCAGTTCCCCCCCTTAGTAAGCAGAAATGTACCTTGTAGTCTGCATTTCCAATCAAAACAACTCAAAGTTTGAATGTCTGTTACTTTGTGAACTACAACCTACAGGTTAAAATTTCCTCAGCAAATAATTTTGACTAACACGGGAGAAAATTATGATCTGTTTACAGATACACGAAGAGTGATAGAAATGAACTTTTTCAAATATATGGGTCACTATGCAGAAATTATTCCTCTATTTTGAGTAAGGACTGCAATATTAGACTCGGGGACTGTGCTAGTGATTCTCAACAAGGGTGCCATGAGATCCTTTCAAAGGTGCTGTGCAATGTTAGCAGTATTAGGTGTGTAAACATGATTCACATGTAAACCTAGAGATTTCCGTAGTATTAAAACCCCCCTGATCTGTTGTGGTCTTTCTGAATTCTTTGCAACGGAAGTATTGTCCTATTATTTTTCTGTAGTCAAAACACAAAAGAGCTGGCATTTTTCTGAGGGGTGCCTCAAGTCTTAAAAAAGGTTGAGACACACTGGACTCATGTGTAAGTACAAGTGTCTGATTTGATCTTTCTTCTCCTTCCCCGTCTTTGTAGAGGGTAATTTACAGACAGGCGTGTTGTACACCGAAGAGAATTTGCTGGCTGATGTTAGAAATTATCATTTGTGAAGGCCAGGATAGTGCATTAGATCAAGAGCTGCTAGAAGTGAGTGAATTGTGGCGATACCCACACATATCAGAGAACAGTTTTTGTAAACAAATAGGACACTTCAGCCTTGTTTCCCCCCGTTGGTACTTGAGGCTTTTGTAACTGGCATTTGGCTTGCTGACCTTTCCTCACCGAGTAATCTTCACTGCAACTCTTTAACTTAATGGTGAGCTCTGCACCTAGGCCATGGGCTTGGAGCTACGCTGCTTCACCACGGCACTCTGTCTGTCTTCAGCTGCAGTCACTCTCCCTTTCCAGGAATTTGGATTTCTCTGCATCACAGCTTCATAATCGGATGCTCTCCAGGGTTCAGAACAAACCAACGCCCATTACAATTTAAAACCTAAACTTGTTAAATTGGATTTGGGATGTAGCAGAGCACTTTAACATCCCTTATGAATTTGGTAGCTACTCCATGTGAAGAAGTCCTAGTGGAATCAACTGGACTTGCATCATGCAGCAGTTACAGAGCATACACCTCAAAGCAAGGAGGGAAGGAGGTTGCTAGCTCTAGCTGATGCTGTTGTAAGAAAATCACTGGCTGGTAGAACTGAGGGCCACAGTACAGTCACTGCAGCTTGTAGAAACAACTAACTCCCTCAGGTACCACTGACAGTATTGACATAGTGGAACGGACCACAGCATGGGCTGCAAAGCTTGCCAAAGAAGCTGAGTAGATATTTAAGTGGCTAGCATATACTGACCTCCATATTGCTACAGTTACATCTCTAGTAGTACCTGAACCAGCTAGCCACTTCAGTTTGACATGCTGTTAGACTAGCTTATTTACTTTGTAAGCTTGGGAATTGCTTCAGTACAGTAGTGCAGACAGGTATAGAAACCCCATATGTGGCAATCAGTGTGTTCCCATAGGGAAAATGTAGGGCCATAGCAAGTTTCCAAGTGGAAAAGTAGTGGGGGAAAACACCTTAAATCCTCAACAGACTTACAGGCTTGGTGGTGCTACTCTAACTAGCACCATGTCCTAAAGGGACCTGGGGGTCATAACTGAGCATAAAATGAATATGAGCCACCAGTGTGATGCTACTGTTAGTAGAGCAAATAATCTGCTGGCATGCATCAACCGATGCATCTCAAGCAAAACCAAGGAAGTGATTCTCCCGCTCTACTCAGCATTGGTGAGGCTGCAGCTGGAGTACTGCATCCAGTTCTGGGTGCCACACTTCAACAAGGATGTGGAGAAGCCTGAGAGAGTCCAGTGAAGGGTCACTTGTATGATTAGAGGCCTGAAGAGCAAGTCATATGAGGAAAGGCTGACAGGTATGGGACTGTTGAGCCTAGAAAAGAGAAGATTTTTGAGGGGTGGGGGGGTGGCAGCTTACAAATATATCAGGGGTGAGCATCAGGGGCTAGGCAAACAACTATTCACCAAAATGCCCCAGGGGAAAACCAGGAGCAACAGTCATAAACTCATAGAAGAAGGTTTCAGACTGGATATTAGGAAAAAATTCTTCACAGTTCGTGTGACCAGACTCTGGAATAGACTCCCAGTGGGGCTGGTGCAGGCACCTACCCTGACATCTTCAAAAGGAGACTGGATGCACACCTTGCTGGGGTTATTTGACCCTAGCAGTCTTTCCTGCCCAGAGCAGGGGGGGTGGACCCAACGATCTCACAAGGTCCCTTCTAGCCCTAAACTTCTGTGAATCATCCTTTGCCTCATTTTCACCTCTTTTCTAGAATTGGGAGAGCAGTCTGACAAAAAAGGGGTTTGGGGAAGTAGTCCAGTTACAGTGAGAAAGTTATGGGCAGATTTGTAGCTTATCATCATGAATGTATTTCCAACCCGAGTCTCTAAAATAATAAACATTATGTAACCCAGGTGGCGGCCCAATAGTTGCCACCCCTGCCCAATATCAGGGCTGGTGTG